AGGTATCGCATTTATCCAGAGGCTCCGCAGTGGAAGAATTGGCTGAAGAACCATACAGCAGTTTTTCAAGACAGTTTCTGCAAGACCTCAAAAACCCCGGCTATGCAACTCCCCAATTCACCAGGTCATTGGCACACTCTTTGATCTGATTGCCTATTGGCAAAGCCAAAAGAGGATTTATCGCTTAAGTTCGCTCAAGGTATGACCATTTCAGGTGCCCACATCTCCTCAGGAGTGGAGTTTTGTCACTCGGCGATCGTAGCCCTTATGTAATAAATCCTCGATATAATACTGAGGTTGCTCAACGACAGGGGATTCAGACGGCGTAGTCGATAGGTCATTTCCCAACACTGAATACCGAGGCGTGGGAAGACGAGACTGCACCTGATGATTGCGGACCAACTTTCTCCCTCCATGAGAGGAAGAGGGGAGACAACGCATGAGCTTGATCTCATCGCCCCCAGACGGTGGCAGCGCGAGCATGGTGCAAGAAGGAGATCCTGCCAGGCTCGATCCAGAACTGGGCACGAATATACCTATTAAGCGCTCACACGTCACATATCGTCATACTAACCAACAGCCAGATTTTCAATTTCTTAAAGCATTCGATTCCGTTCATAGTACAACCCCCTGGTGAAGACTAACAGTCGTAGGGTGTACCAGTGGAAATTTCCGTGATAAAACCCTGCCATCGCACCACCCGTGCCGCGTCCTTGCAAACAACAACCTATCAAGGCCATCAGGTGTTCAGCAGGGATGAATCCTTCCGTCCTTTCCGCTTAACTGTATTATTGATTGGGCTCTCGGAAACGCTGCCTGAAGTTCTAGGGTGCGAACGTTTGACCAGGGCGTTGGCCGGCAGATCATAACTACGCTGACGATATCGTCACAATAGCGCCAATTTGTAACAACCTACAGAAAGCAGTGTCTAGGGTAACCCAGACAGCCAAATCAGTTTGTTTATCCAGTGAGGTGCAAAAACAAAAACATGCTCCAAATGCAGCTAGACCAGTCTAAGAAACTCTTCGCGATTAACGCTTGTGAAGTCGAAGGAGTGTTCGAGGTTAGGCTGTTGTCAGACGGACTGAGTCAAGATGGCACCACCACTGTCATGCTAAGGTAGTGTCCTGACCAAATTCCATCTCATTAATTACCGTTCTGTCTGTCGTTTTAGTTCCGATATTTCGATTGCAAGATGAACAAACCCAAATTCTAGGGTGCTCATTCATTCTGATCCTTCATTCCTATTTTGTTCCTGCCATCTCACCGGCGGGAATGTGGCCATCCTGATTACGACAATTTATTCATTTTACAACTCAATAATGGGTCAACTTCTAAGGCCGGAACGATTCAATGTCGATCCAAATGCTTCAGACGCTTCCAAACAACGGGATCAGTGGTTTCCCACGTTTAAAAACTTCATGTCCACAATTGAAAGCCTGAGACCGAGGAAACCGAACGTTCGGATTAATTACGTTTTTCGGACAGTCTGAAAGGCATTAGTGAATGCTCCAGTTACGGAGCAGTTGGAATGCTGCGAGACCTCTACTCAAGATCCGAAAACGAAATTTTGATTGGACTGCTTCTAGGAACCTGCAAACAAGGTGGACAAACTCCCGACCAGTTCGATCAGGAGATTAGGTCTTTAGATAAAGACCGCGATTTCAAAGCTGTTACGGCAGAACAAAATCGTGACGAAGCCACCAGAAATGCCTTCATCGATGAGCTTTCATCAAACCAGATTCGGCAGAGGTTATTGGAGCAAAAGAACTGGCATTTGAGGCTGCTTTTGGTCAGACAAGGTCATTGGGATTGGCATAAAGACAATCTCTATTTTATCTGAAGTATCCGACAGCCTCATTATCTGACGTAACTGAAATGTCCGATACTCAACTCAGTTCCACTTGACCTAGTAGCTTTTAGTTCATCCTGCAACAAGTGTTTCTGCTGTGGATACGACAAAAATTCTCGCTAGAAGCGTCCCGCACGCGAGTACTATGCAAAGGATGCGGCAAAAAGAGGCGTTTCCAAAAGATTTGCCAGGCGTTGCGAAGTCCAAAGGGTTTCTCTTTCTCTACACGTCTGGCCATTTACACCGCAGCATCGGCTGCTATTCTTGACTATCTTCCAAACGCGGTGACTGAACTACAGGCCTTGATAGACACAGACAGTCCAGAGAGTTATATTTCTCCTTCAGTGGTACTCCAAAATAACTGGAAAGTTCATACATCTTGCATAAATATATTTATGACTGCCACTGCCCTGACTAGCGCCAGGCAAAGGAACGTTCTTGCCTCGACTAAACTCAATGGTACCATTTACGAAAAGTCAAGCTGTCATTACTGCTGGATTTGTGTGCCGATGTCTAACTTAGCTATGACTAAACTTGACTCCACAAAGTGCTGAAATCCCTTTCGGTGTTGCGGCTTCGCTTGGGCTGAGCCTCCTAGTTTTTTTTTATACTAATTTAACATAAGACTGCAGGCCTGTCCTAATAAAATACCGTGGACACACTAGCATCGATGAGAGATTTGTACAAGAAGAGATTCGTCATCTTCCGTCTGAAAGAGTAATTGAGCCCTCCTTATCCCCCTGGCGAGCCCAACTTCTGATGGTAGCCAATGAAAACTACGAAAGACGAATGGTTGTTGATTATAGTCAGACGATCAACATCTACATCCCTCCCAAAATAGACGAAATGATTGAACAAATTGATAACTACGATATGTAAAGCACTCTTAATTTCAAAAGCGCCTATCGTCAGATACCTATCGGGGTAGAGGAAAGGCCATAGACTGTCTTTGAAGCATGTTGACGTTTGTATCAATTTTGTCGAATCCGGTTTGGTGCGAACAACGGAATTGTATGTTTCCAACAAAGTAACACCGACATAAGTAGCCGCGAGTACTTGAGAAACACTTTCGTTTACGTGGACAATATCATCATTTGCGAAAACAGCCTCGCGGAGCATGATTTAAAACTTCCATGATTCCTTTATGTGGCCTAAACATACGGACTAGCTCACAATGAAGCTAAAAGTGTCGTTGCTGCTAGGCAGATTAGGCTACCGTTCAGTATGATGCCCCATTGGTTGTCAACATCGATGCTTCAGACGTCGCCATTGCTGCCGCACTGGACCAGAATGGTCGACCAGTAGCGTTCTTTTCATGGGGCCTATCCCCAAATGAGCGGCATAATTCCGCGATCGAAAAATAGCCGTATGCCGTAGTGGAGTCCATACGCAAATGGAAACACTTCCCCTTTGCAATCATTTCAAACTTATTACAGATCGGCGTTCAGTTGCCTTTATCTACGGTAATCAACAAAAGGGGAAAGAAAAGAATGATAAGATCAAATGCTGGAGTTTGGAGCCGTCGTCATTCGAATGCAACATTGTTTACCGGCATGGCAGACAAAACTGGGACCACTCTCCCTTTATGGCCCACCTCTCCTGGACGAGTTTTACTGAAGAAGAGTGGTCAACAATCTGGACATGATCAGCTTGTCGGGGAGATCGATCTGCTCCAGTGCAACCCTCGATATGCTTACATGCAGTTTGATAATGACTGAAGACTGCTTGCTCCCAAAAGGGAAAACGATATGGATGATTGCCGTTAGGAGAGGGCCACACCCGCGCTCGAATATTCCCTTCCCTTTTCCCTTAACTATCCACTCAACAATGAGCAGGGAAGCGATAGCTCTTTCGGCTGACAAGCAGAATATTGCGACTCCTGTTTGTACCCGTAGCGATGACAATATCTACATGCATAACCTGGAGACAGTGATTAGGCAAAACAGCGCGTTCATCCATACTGCCTTCGCAACTGCCACGTCTATAATTTGTCACATGCAAATGTCCCCAAAAGATTTCTCGACATATTGATCCCTCCATTTTTTGGCAGGGAGAATGTCATGCCTGCTTGTTGACCTGACCAAATCCAATCTCATTAACTACGGTTCCACTTTTTGTTTCAGTTTCGATAGGTCTATTGTCAGATGAATAAAGCCTATTTCTAGGGCACTCGTTAATTCTGATTATTTCATTCTATTTTGTTCGTGCTATCTCAGTGGTGTGGTTACGGCCGTTCTGATTGCCAGAGTCACCTGAATCAATACTGCTCTCTGGATTTTTTAAGTTGCCGAATGCATTTATGGACTCGACGCAGTATCACAATAGTCACTAAGACCTGCGTTTACTGAGCATTAGTCTCGTCCGTCCTCTACAGTTGTGAATGGTAGATTGTGTGGAGGTCAGGAAAAATTGAGGTTCAGGTTGATGAGGAAGGCGAGTGCGGTAAATTCTGCGTTGGCCTGCAGTCCAGATAAACTACCTCATGCGCAAGTCACTATCTCTGAGCCCACCCTGTTGAGGAACACACGGTGGACATAGTCGGTAACAGCAGTTTAAATGTCATGTGTGTGTGACCCAAAGTAAGCCGAGCATTGCGCTGTAGTCTCTGCTTTTGCCTGCTTGCATTTGTCTGCTTGTCTGTGTAAGTCCTTGTTGCAAGGTAAATGCCGTTCTGTTGAATTTGCCCGCCTACCGGTTATGAGGGATGGGAAACTGGTTCCCGTCTATCGACCCTTCCCCTTCCCCCACCTCAAAATTCATACGGCGAGAGCGCCAGCGATCACGTAGGCGGCGCAGGTTAACTCGGGTCCTTCTCCCACTAAACAAAGTCGCGGCCCATAGCGGAGTCCGGCAGCCGTCTCGGACAACTGCCCACCCCGGCGAGGAGGGTGGGGATATAACAGGTGTTCTAAGTAAATACTAGGATCACTTTCTCTGTTCGTTGCCTGTGACTCGCAGACGCAAAACACACGGTCGAAACACTAACACCAGAAGCAATGCCCCCTCTCTTCCCCCTCCTCTCCGCCGCACAACCCGCCAGACTGGTAGGATGGTTCCGCTCACCCTGGCAGCCTGGAACGCTCGTTCCCTTTTAGACAATCCCAGGAACAGGCAGTCGGAACGAAGGACGGCGCTGGCGGCTCGGTAAATGATGCGTTACAGAGTGAACATCGCTGCACTCAGCGAGACCTGCTTCTCCGAACAAGGCCAGCTGGAGGCAGTGAGTTCCGGCTATAACTTCTGGGGCGGTCGCACCCAAGGCAGAGCGGCGGGACACGGGCGTCACCTCTGCCATCTGGGACTACTACCCTGTTTGCCGCAGGACATCAACGATCGCCCAATGAACCTCCGCCTGCCTCCTCGAGGTGGCAAATTCGCCAGCGTCTACGCTACCCCGATGACCAGCCCTGACGCGGCAAGGAACAAATTCTACGAGAATCTGCACGCCCTCCAGGCGACTATGCCGAAGGCGGACTAGTTGATTGTCCTTGGTGACTTCAACCTCCGCGTCAGCACAGACCATGCTGCCCGGATAGCAGCGCCGAATTCCCACGGTTTCCACGGCTCCAATGACAATGGCCTGATCCTCCTACGAACCTGTGCAGAACACCGGCCCATCCCGACCAACACCTACTTCCGCCTCCCGATGCGAGAGAAGGTCACCTGGATGCACCCTCGGTCGCGACACTCACACCAGCTGAGCTACGTCCTCGTACGGAGGCGAGACCAGCAGGACTTGTTGGTGACAAGGACCATCCCGGATGACGACGGGTGGACCAACCATCCTCTCGTCATCCCCCAGAAGAGGATCCACCTACCGCCACGCAGGAGACCTCAGGGTAAGCGACCCCCAGATAAGCTGAATATTGCTTTGTTGTCTTTGCCCGCTCACCATCTTCATTTCAGAAATGAGCTAGCTCAACGACTAGCCAACCTTCCAGTCGCTGCCACCTCCACCACCGACGCCGCCCACGAGAACACCTTCGTGGAGAACCGATGGTATCAACTGACGGACACGATCCAGTCAACCACCCTAGCTGTCGCCAACATCAGGATTAGTTCGATGTCAACGACTTCGCCATCAGCAACCTGCTCGTCCAGGAAAACCGCCTGCACAAAGTCTATGTCAACCGCTCCATCGAGGACAACAAAACAGCCATCTATCGTAGTCGCCGCCTTGTGCAACGGCGGCTGCGGGAGGTGCAGGACGCTGGGACCGCTCGTAAGGCCGAAGAGATCTAAGGGTACGCGGATTGCCACGAATGGAAGAAATTTGCGCCGCGATCATGGCTGCCTACGGTCTCACAGCCAAGGGAACCGCTTCTCTTCTCAGCGCCGACGGCAGTAGAAGGCACAAATTCTACAGCGGTGGGACGAGAACTTCAGAGGCGTCCTCAACCACTCCTCCACCATTTCCGACGCCGCCATCGTCCGTTTGCCTCAAGTGGAGATCAACGTCGATCTCCACCTCTCGCCCTCTCTCCACGAAACGATCAAGGCCGTGCAACAGCTCGCCAGCGGGAATGCGTCCGGACCAGACGCGATCCCCGCTGAGATCTACAAACACGGCGATCCACAACTTATGGATTACCTCACAGCGTTTGTTAAGATTATGTGAAGCCAAGGACAAATCCCGCAGGATTTCAGGAACGCCACAACCGTTCACCTCCACAAAAAAGGAACAGCCAATTCTACGACATGATCTTCGCCGCCCGCCAACTGCAGAAGTGTCAAAGATGCAGACCCATTTCTACTCTAGCTTCGTGGATCTGACGAAAGCCTTCGACACGGTGAATCGCGAAGGATTGTGGAAAACCATGCAAAAATTCAGCTGACCCGAACGATTAACTCATGCGATGCGTCACCTCAACGATGGCATGACGGCGCGCGTCACGGAAGATGGAGCTGTCTCAGAGGCATTCGCAGTGACCAACGGAGTGAAGCAGGGCTGCGTCCTCGCGCCTACCCGCTTCAGCCTCATGTACTTTGCCATGCTGATCGACGCCTACCGTGAAAAACGCCCGGGGTCCGCGTAGCCTACGGGACGAGCAGCTTACTCTTCAATCATCGAGGATGCATTTCCAGTCGTGTGTATCCACAACTACCTTTCGTGAACTTCTCTACGCCAACGACTGCGCTCTCAACACAACCACAGAGGGGGACATGCAACGGAGCAGTATTCCTTTCGACGCCGCCTGTGACAATTTCGGCCTAATGGTCAACGTGGAGAACACAGTGGCTATGCATCAACCGCCACCCGACGCTGACTACAATGCACCCCACATTAACGCGGATGGCGCCCGACTGCAAGTCGTGGGCATCTTCACCTACCTGAGCAGCATCCACTCCCGACGATGAAGTGGTCCGCCGGCTCTTCAAAGCCAGCTTAGCTTTCTGCCGTCTGCAAAACACCGTCTGGAACCGTCACGGTCTCAGCCCCAGCACCAAACTCATGATGTGCAAAGCGCTCATCCTGACGACGCTGGTACATAGAGCGGAGACCTGGACGGAGAACATGAGGCAGGCGCGAAGGCTCAATCACTTCCTCCTCAGCTGTCTTCGAAAAATACTAAAGCTGAGGTGGCAGCACCAGATGCCGGACACAGACGTACCGGAACATACGGGAATCCTGAGCATCTACGCCATGCTGAGACAATTGCAACTACGCTGGAGCGGCCACCTCGTGCGGATGGATGAAGAGCGGCTACCCAAACGACTCTTCTATGGAGATATCGCCGCCGGCTCCTGCCGACGAGGACAAGTCCGGCGCAACAAGGGCACTCTGAAGACTTCCCTGAAGAGTCCGCAGATCAACCCGGCAAACTGGGAAGAGCTCGCCCGGGATCGACCGGGCTGGAGGAGGACAGAGAAGACAGGCGCAGCGATCTACGAAGTCGACAGAAAAACCGCCGCCAAAACCAGATGATAGGCTCTCAGCCGTCCCCAATTCGCAACGCCGACGCTTAACCGTCCCCAACCTGCCCACGATGTCAGCTGACGTCCCGCACACCAATCGGCCGCTGTCTCCCCGTCCATCTCTGCTTCGTTCCCAACGCCTACAACACTGACCGCACTCTCAAACCCCCACTGTCATCCTCCTCTTCCTCATCCATTGCCTCAACATCGGCGGCGGCGGCGGCGGCGGCGGCGGCGGCGGCGGCGGCGGCGGCGGCGGCGGCGGCGGCGGCGGCGGCGGCGGCGGCGGCGGCGGCGGCGGCGGCGGCGGCGGCGGCGGCGGCGGCGGCGGCGGCGGCGGCCAACAACAACAACAAACATCAACCTTGTCAATCGAAGCGAAGATACGAGTCCCAAGAAGCAGTCTTGAGGAAGGAGACACGATCGCTGCGACAAGAGCCTGTGGTATCCGGCTTTCATCGCCGGCTATGAGAGCGTGCCGAAATAACCAGATACACCGTC